GAGATTTGTCAAAAGCTTCCACAGCTTCACAGTTCTCAAACAGCAACACCAGCCCACATACAATTGAAAGCACCACTTTTAAACACGACATGTTAAGTTGAAAACGTTGAAATACCACAATTTACAAATTAAAATAGGAGGTAAGCAATCATCGACCAGGAAAACATACGCTGCGACAAGATATTATCACTTTTCCGGCACCTGCAATACAAACACAAAATTCTTTCTATTCTTTTGAACACATTTCAAGAGTGGTTGTATAATTTTTGTTAACGTTGTGCTTAATTTGCTATAAGATGGCTTGAAAAATTGGTGAATCGTGAAGAAAACACGTTTTCTCATTGCAAATTCACAACTGTCAACTCATTGTTCTTCGCCAAATTCTTTGTTTACCCGTTGCCACAAATGTCATTCTGCGGGAATGCGCAATCTTGTATTCTATCGTTCTTGAGCATAGCTCACAATTGAAACTTTAAACTAAAAAATTAGAATTTTTAATTGTATAAGGTTAAGAGTTGACATTTCAGTCGCAGTTCGAAAGAGAGAAATGTCGAAATCACTTCTACCTTGTTATGCCTTGGTGTGACCAAAATGTATTCAACAAAGTGTGATTGATTTTGACATTGCTCTCATAAGAAACAGGCTATAATGTCAAACTAAAATGAATTCTTAACCCATTTGAAATTTTTTTTCTAATTTGAATTTGTTTCAAAAAATTTTTCAGCAACAAATTTTCTTAATAAACATGAAATTGTTAAGAGATAAACCGCCGAGGAGAGCAAGTAAGTACATTTAAAGTTGGGTAATAAGTAAATACGTTCGACTTTTCTTAAATATTTAATGTAAGGAAACCAAGATGAAACGGAGAAAACAATTTGAACGGTGCGCTGTATGCAATAAAAGTAAGGACACGAAAATAGTGCGATGTTTTAAACCACCTAGTTGTGAATTAAGACGGCAGCGATGCGAAGAAAGCTGTGGTGTTGTACTACGTGATTCATCTCGCGTTTGTGAAAACCACTTCAAGGAAAGTGATTTCATTAGTGATCATCAAGCACTTTCAAACGAGCTCGTTTATACCCAGGCGCAGTCCCAATGCCATACGAAATAACTGAAACGAGTGAGGATTTAGAACGCGACGAGGATACATTGAGAACAGAAATATTTCTTCTTACCGAAACAATTAAAATCATGCAAGCAAGTTTGGAAGAGCTTAATTTAAAACTGCTCGAAGCGTNTTCATCTCGCGTTTGTGAAAACCACTTCAAGGAAAGTGATTTCATTAGTGATCATCAAGCACTTTCAAACGAGCTCGTTTATACCCAGGCGCAGTCCCAATGCCATACGAAATAACTGAAACGAGTGAGGATTTAGAACGCGACGAGGATACNAACGATATGACATTCAAAGCGTAACGAAATATAGGAAATAAAAGAAAAACAAGTTGAAGTTTAAAGGTTTGGTTCTCATGAGAGCAACGTCATTTTGGCTTCTACCTGTATTAATGTGCCTTGGGTGTAAACCATGATAAAAACATAGTAAGGTAAAACCGTTCTCACCATTCGTCACNGAAAATTACTAAAACTATTTTATAAACAATTTGTTTTATTTTATTGACAAAATATATATATTCCAGATAATGTAAATAAAACAAAACTATAATCGAAATAAAAGCATAGGTGCTGACAAGATACATGCAAAACTAAGGGTTAATTCGTTTGTTTATACTTTTTGACATAATAGTACCTTAAAAGAGAGCCGCATTGAATTGTCAATCACACCTTGTTTAATACACCTTGGGTGGGAAGCATGGTACAATAAACACAGGTAGAAGCCAAATTGACATCAAACCTACAAAAGTCAAAGTTTTCGGGAGAGTAAAAATAAAAATGAGCGTGTGTAAGGAAAAATAAAAAATTACATTTCGCTGGTTGACGTTTTTGAGTAAATTTGAAGTTTTGTTTTTATTTTTTTTCTTTAGTTAAAATTTGTTAATTTGTATGTTGTTTTCTGTTTTTAATTTATGAGTTGGAGGGACTTTCCGGCATAAGGGTCATAGGAACAGCACTTGGGATCAAAAGTGCCTTTCCTGTGCCTCCCGGTGCATTTATGAAATCTGCTGCTTTAAAATGTTTAACGCACAGCAAGGCATTTCGCTGCAGTTCTGCCCCAAAGCTGTTTTCGCAACGCTCTTTACGCGAAGGACATTGAGGCACGTTAAAAACAGTTAGTGGTATCTGCTTCATATTTAAAACCACATAAAAAACAACGCTTCAGGTGTTGCATTTTTAACACATACACTAAGTATAAACCGCACAACACTACTCAAATTCACATGTTAATTAAAATTTGTTATTAACGAACATTAAAAAAAACAACGATATGACATTCAAAGCGTAACGAAATATAGGAAATAAAAGAAAAACAAGTTGAAGTTTAAAGGTTTGGTTCTCATGAGAGCAACGTCATTTTGGCTTCTACCTGTATTAATGTGCCTTGGGTGTAAACCATGATAAAAACATAGTAAGGTAAAACCGTTCTCACCATTCGTCACCCATGACTTTTTTTTGAAGTTTGCCAACATTTTAAAATCATATAAAATTGAGAGTAAAAAAGGAATAGTTCCAAGTTGTTGTTGTTTGAGATTGAAAACGAGAATGTCCGTGTGAGTTTGTGTGTAAAATATTAAAATTAAATTGCTTGCAA